TTAAAAGTAGCAGCATACCAAATGTAACATCATATATGTTTCAAACTGTACTTTTAAGAAAACAAAAGACCAAAGGTAGGTGGTTCTCTCCAGACACCCAGCTTACTCCACCTCAAAATAGCACAATTGTTGAAAGTGGCGTTAAACACCAATCAATCAATCTTTTAAAAGAAGAAAAAGTCTAACAACACTTGGACATACAAATTCTGAAGTTCAGCACACTATGACTTGAGTTGACAATGTGTTGTAATGCTATAAATCTGATGTGCATGTATGCTTTAGCAATAACTTAACAAATATCATGTGTCTCATTTTATTTTTTTCCTTACACACTTAAGATGAAACTACATTTGGACAATGTCAATTTAATAATCATCACAAACTGCAGACTGAGCCAATGCAATATATTTTATGTTTATTAATGGTGTAACTCATCTCAGAAAACAATGTTTCAGAAACAAAATTTATCTTACAATTCTCCAACTATAAATTAACAAAGTATATAAAAACTTAGATCCAACTCCCTCAGGCAAAGATGACCTGAGATAACCTAGGCAACTCTTTGTATGTCCCTTTTAGTTATATACTGTGGATTCTTTATTTGTGGGATACCAATTATCATGGATTTCGTGGGTATACATAAACCATGAATTTGAATACTCAATGAAGTACATATGTTCTAAATGCTTGTACACACTTTGGCAAATTCACACAAGAGTGCACACGCTGAAATGTCTCGCCTTCTTTACTAACCATTGATATTATGTTGATAGTCCTAAATGAAAGCTTTACTACAACTATTACATAAACTTAACATGATCCAAGAAAATAAAGTCAAGGTCATATAAACCAAACAAGAAATACATGTACACCTTACAATCATTCAATACACTAAATATAGTTGACCTATTGCTTAAAGTTTCTAAGAAACAGACTTAACCAAGAAAACTAAACATTGACCAATGAATCGTGAAAATGAGGTCAAGGTCAGATGAACCATGCCAGGCAGACATGAACAGCTTACAATCCTTCCATACAACAAATATAGCTGACCTATTGCTTATAGTTTAAGAAAAACAGACTGAAACACATAAACTTAGCACTGAGCAATGAACCGTGAAAATGAGGCCAAGGTCAAATAAAACCTGCGAGACTGACATGTACATCGAAGAATATTTCCATACACCAAATATAGTTGACTTATTGCATATAGTATAAGAAAAAAGACCAAAACTCAAAAACTTAACTTTGACCACTGAACCATGAAAATGAGGTCAAAGTCAGATGACACCTGCCAGTTGGACATGTACACCTTACAATCATTCCATACACCAAATATAGTACACCTATTGCATAAAGTATAAGAAAAACAGACCAAAACACAAAAACTTAACTATAACCACTGAACCATAAAAATGAGGTCAAGGTCAGATGACACCTGCCAGCTAGACATGTACACCTTACAATCATTCCATACACCAAATATAGTAGACCTATTGCATACAGTATAAGAAAAACAGACCAAAACACAAAAACTTAACTATAACCACTGAACCATGAAAATGAGGTCAAGGTCAGATGACACCTGCCAGTTGGACATGTACACCTTACAGTCCTTCCATACACTGAATATACTAGACCTATTGCTTATAGTATCTGAGATATGGACTTGACCACCAAAACTTAACCTTGTTCACTGATCCATGAAATGAGGTGGAGGTCAAGTGAAAACTGTCTGACAGGCATGAGGACCTTGCAAGGTACGCACATACCAAATATAGTTATCCTATTACTTATAATAAGAGAGAATTTAACATTACAAAAAATCTTAACTTTTTTTTTCAAGTAGTCACTGAACCATGAAAATGAGGTCAAGGACATTGGACATGTGACTGACGGAAACTTCGTAACATGAGGCATCCATATACAAAGTATGAAGCATACAGGTCTTTGACCTTCTAAAATATAAAGCTTTTAAGAAGTTAGCTAACGCCGCCGCCGCCGGATCACTATCCTTATGTCGAGCTTTCTGCGACAAAAGTCGCAGGCTCGATAAAAATCAAATATCCACAAAAAAAGTAAGTTTTAAAAGGGGGGTTGAGATCTCACTCAACATGTTTAACCAAGCCGCATTTTTGCGCTTGTCCTAATTCATGATCCTCTGGCATTTGTTAGTCTTGTATGTTTATTCAATTTTAGTTCATTTATGTTTTGGAGTTTAGTTTGTCATCCATTTTCACTGAACTAGTACAGATTTGTGTTGAGGGGCCAGCTGAAGCCTGTCTCCAGGTGCAGGATTTTCTCACTGTTGAAGACCCATTGGTGCATGGCCTTGGGCTGTTTTCTGCTCTTTGGTCGGGTTGTTGTCTCTTTGACACATTCCCCATTTCAATTCTCAATTTTATTACCCCAATCGATGTAAGTAAAGGAATTCACAATTCACAATAGCTCCTCATGTATTCAAAAGCTAAATTGTTATTTTAATTTACTAGTAGTATGTCAATGCCACTTCTGGTGGACTTAAGTCCCCTAGGGTATCATTTACTCAATTTCTAATACTTCAGTACTAACACGGTTTTTCCTTAATTCCTTTGATAAATGAATTATCAATTTAAAATCTAAGGCAAAGTTATCCCAAGATAAACTTTTGGTTACTCTTTTTCGGTTTGTTTTGGTTATAAATATCTCCCAAAGTTTTCATGTCTTATACATCCTTGGCTTTCAACTTGTGAAGTTTTGAGTGTTCCTGGTAAAGGTAAATACAGAAAAGGGATTCCGAATAGCACAGTGACAACAAATTATAGACAGGCAGGTTGAAATCTTTATTGCGTCATATATATTAAAATCAAAAGATTCAGACATGCCCTAATAAAGGAAGTAAATACCTATACTGTAGTCAAGAATCTTCAACTTTGACCCAAGATGTGAGAAATGGGTAATGAAATTTCTACTCCCACTATAGTCTGGCATAAAACACTTATACATATAAATTATTTTAGTAGAAATCTTATTTCAATAAATGTGTACAAAAGTCTTCTTATCTTAATGTCAAAAGTCAATGTTGCAAAAAAAATTTAAAGAAATAACATGAAAGGTAAATGTGACATTTTCTTATGCAGAAAAACAAAAGCTATTTTCCTTTGATGTAAAATATACTATTCCCCTTTGAATGTTTTTACACTAGTAATTTTTGGGGCCCTTTATAGCTTGCTGTTCGATGTGAGCCAAGGCTCCGTGTTGAAGACCGTACTTTGACTATAAACAAAAACAAGCGATCACAAGTGGAAAATGGCAATTAAGAAACCTGATTTCAAACATTAAGTCAATGAAATGACCGAAATTATTTCTGTTAAAAAATAAAATTTGTCCTAAATCCCAATTACTCGTTTAGGACATAAAGCTTTCATCTTAGGACATGACTTGCAAATATGACCGTTTCTGGACCCTTGCTTTGACCTATAATGGTTTACTTTTACAAATTGTGACTTGGATGGAGAGTTGTCTCATTGGCACTCATACCACATCTTCTTATATCTACATACTTATATATCTTGTCATACCAATCATTATTGCTTTTTAAAGTTTCTATTTTTCCATTATGTTTTTTTACAATAATAGGTAATAACGCCAAAAAATGGTAAAAATAGCTTTGAAATGGCTTTGGTTCAAATAAGGGGGCAACTGACAATTTTGGCCATCTTGGCTAATTCATGTTATTTGTAGATCTTGTCTAGCGAAAAATTTCTTTCTATCTATTATAAAATTCATCATATAAGGTCAACATCTCCAATAAAAAAAGACGTCTGACAGTTTTGATGTAAAATGACAGAAGATAGATCCCATTCTGAACATATTTGCACCTGTCAGATTTTCGTTATCTATAAAAGTTTTCAAGATAAACAAAACTTGCATTTAACCGTTATCTTCTAATTTTAGACATGTGTGCCATGTAAGTAGACAAGCAGGCCATCAAACACAATTTTTAAACCAAACCAATGATGATTGTGGCTAATTTTATTAAAATTTGGCCCAGTAGTCTTAAAGGAGTTGTTCTATTTAAAGGTTGACTGACTACAAGGGCTAACAACAGCCAATGGACAACTGACACACAGTGATGGCAAAAGCTCACACTGCCCTTTTGGCCAGGTGAGCTAAATTTACAAAAAAATTTGACCTTCTGTGTTTTATTGACAATGAGAGTTTTAAGGAATATAAGAATGTGGCAAGTTTACAATGAAAGAATAAAACTTGGCAAAGCAATCATATCTGTATATTAAGCACCAATCAGCATCAGTAAAAGTCTGACTCATTATTCATCCTGTAATTAACATCATTATAAGGTGTATAACAAAATTTGGCTTCAAATTTATGATTGGTTCATCACAGCTTTCTTTAAAAAAAAAAGTTTGATCATTGATGCTATGTTATTTAGAAAATTAGGCCATGTCAGAGAAGTTGATAGATTGGTTGGTTGTTGTATGCTTAACATCCAGCAGCAAAAAAAGATTAATTGAAACTTATAAAGTAATAACATAAAAGACTTTTGAAAATCCTCCTAAATGAAAAGCTGATCTGGTCTGTTTTTTTTTGTTGTTTTTTTTTCAATTGGAGATGAGTATAGTATTAAAAAAAGTTATAAAAAAATTGGAATATGATTTCGTTTGGTTCAATCATCAATAAAAGTGAAATAATGAAATAATAATTCGTTTTTAGCAGCCAATTTGGTTCAATTTTGTCAGAATAAGCAAAGAAATATCGCTGATGAATTATTCACTTGCAAGTGAATAATTCAATCTCATTAAATCCATATTCATGTGAACTTCAATTTAACCCATCAGCTAGAGATTGGTTACGCATGCATAAGTCGTGTTCAGCCATTGAAAGAAAAAGAATGTCAACATTAAAAGTGAAACAAAGGTGAACCATTTCATTGACTTATTCGATCAACAAAAAATCATTCTTATACAGGTAAAAATGTTAATTAACTTATTTTTTTAATCTATAACATGAAATCAAACAGACCTATAAAAATCCAATTGCATGAGGTCGCAATCTATTTATATTCATGTTTATGTTTATATCGGGTTATAAGTCCGTTGGTAGTATTGGGAGGCCATCTCGATGGTTAAGTAGATGGCGTATAGACTAAAATACACACGAAATTCTGATATATATTATCGAGTACATGCTTTGTTACAGTTTATTTCAGACTTATTGTAATTTGGATATACGTTTTAGTATGTTATAAATCAAACATGAGATTTTGAGTCAAATTGGTGAACATGAGTTTGACAGCTAGTGCCCCTTTTTAAGTGCCAATCTGCCTAAGAATCAGACAGTGGTGAAAACATGACAAACAAAAACCAGCTCTAGGCTACATTAATTCAAATTCAGTATAATTGTACACGAATATAGCATTCATTTTGTTGTACTATTCTGGCATTAGAAATTAACAATTAAGGGTAGCTAACTCTGTAATTTGCTATCATTCTAACCAAAAGTTATCCAGATATTTCTCGAATTACCAGACAAGCAGAAATGAAAGACCTACTTTTTTCTAACTCAGGATGAGGGTAACTTTAAAATAGAATTGTTAGGATGGTGGGTTTTTTTCTGCCATGTTTTGAAGTTCTTCTAAAATACCTGATTCTTGCAACGATTGGCACTTTTAAGACACTTAGTTACATCTCAATGTATACAAATCTACCAGTTTTATACCCATCTTACTATTCTTTCTTAAAGGAAAGAAAATGTTAATGATGGATGTAAAGAGAATGCCAAAACAAATAGTTTAATAACACTCTCATATATGCAGTATTTTCTCTGTACAGTGTCTTCTATCAATTACCAACAATTTATTGCATGAACATTGCTTTGTTATAACATTAAGTAAATTTGCAGTCAACAAGATAGGTAAAAAGTTCATTTAAGTTTTCCTTTTCCTAAAACTTAAAATGTTCATATATGTTTGCCTTCTCCTAGATATTTGCTAAATGTTTTCTGTAGAATCTGACACATGCTTTCATCTGAATCTATAAAATGTACATCTTTCACAGTGTTCTCATCAGCGTTCATGTTTTTACCATATTCCTCTACTCCTTTGTAGTATTGAATAGCACAGAATGGTTTTGGGATTCCATATATTCCTGAAAAAAATATTTACAATAAATACATGCACATACATATATCAAAGTAAAACTTTATTTTAGATACTTAAATTTTAAAATTAAGAAATACTTGTGATAAATTCTAAAAGACAATTTTTTTTTCTCTAGAACATATTGAGTGTCTCTAAAACTGCTGACTCTTATTTTCTGTTCAATATTTTTTTTTAACTTTTCATTTTTCTTTTGCAGTGGTAGATTGATTGATTGGTGTTTTAATACCAATTTCAGCACTATTGGATATTTCATGCAATTTGATTAAAATTCAAATCATGTGTCTAAACTTTGTTTACAAGGATCTGACAACAATCCGTTCTACTTTCTGTTCTGGTAATTATTACATCAGCCAATGATATTTCAGCCTTCAAATTTTTGAAATGAGTAATTATCGCTAAAACCAGAGGATCCCAAATGGATGGTTTTCTACCCTATAAGTAAAGCTTGGATACAGAATCAGTATTTTCATCAGATTGTAATTCGTGACGATCAGTTTTTATTGGTGGATAAAACCAAAGTACCCAAAGGGAACTTAGAACCTTCAGTAGGAAAACTGACATTCCTAGTCAATTAATTTTTGGAGTCAAACGTATCTGCCACGTGTGTTGACAGGCTAGTGATACAGTAGTTGGACTACTTAGACCGAGGTCCCCCTTTTGGCCATGGTGTTGTCTTTCTTTTATAATGGTTATCCCCTTTGTATCTAGTTCCTTATATAATCTTGTTAATTATATTAGCAATTTTCAGTCTGATAAGAGTGTTATTATTAAAAGGATTCCTCAAATGTCTTATGATTTTTTCAAAAGCATTATACTTTCATACAACAATTCAGAATTCTGACTGTGAATGTGCACCTAGAATATATTTATTAAAATGTTAGCATCAAATAACACAAATTGATGAGCATATTAAAATACTGAAGATTCAGAGACTAAACTTGGGAATTTCAAGCTGGGAGCCCAGACCAGATATTTCTTAATCAGTTTCTATATGTTCAACTGAAATTTACCTGAAAGTTTAGGGTCCCAGCTCCAAATCTAGGAGCCATGGGCGACTGGGCTCCCTTTAAGTTTTGTCCCTGTAAATTGTTTGTTCAACTTACCTGTACCTACTGATGTAAAAGCTATAGATTAATGTCTATGTGCTTACCTGTACCTACTGATGTAAAAGCTTTAGATTTATGTCTATGTGCTTACCTGTACCTACTGATGTAAAAGCTATAGATTTATGTCTTTGTGCTTACCTGTACCTACTGATGTAAAAGCTATAGATTTATGTCTATGTGCTTACCTGTACCTACTGATGTAAAAGCTATAGATTTATGTCTATGTGCTTACCAGTACCTACTGATGTAAAAGCTATAGATTTATGTCTTTGTGCTTACCTGTACCTACTGATGTAAAAGCTATAGATTTATGTCTATGTGCTTACCTGTACCTACTAACGTACAAGCTATAGATTTGTGTATATGTGCTTACCTGTACCTACTGATGTAAAAGCTATAAATGAATGTCTATGTGCTTACCTGTACCTACTGATGTAAAATCTATAGATTAATGTCTATGTGCTTACCTGTACCTACTGATGTAAAAGCTATAGATTAATGTCTATGTGCTTACCAGTACCTACTGATGTGAAAACTATAGATTTATGTCTATGTGCTTACCTGTACCTACTGATGTAAAAGCTATAGATTAATGTCTATGTGCTTACCTGTACCTACTGATGTAAAAGCTATAGATTAATGTCTATGTGCTTACCTGTACCTACTGATGTAAAATCTATAGATTTATGTCTATGTGCTTACCTGTACCTACTGATGTTAAAGCTATAGATTTATGTCTATGTGCTTACCTGTACCTACTGATGTAAAAGCTATAGATTTATGTCTATGTGCTTACCTGTACCTACTGATGTAAAAGCTATAGATTAATGTCTATGTGCTTACCTGTACCTACTGATGTAAAAGCTATAGATTTATGTCTATGTACTTACCTGTACCTACTGATGTAAAAGCTATAGATTTATGTTTATGTTCATTGGCATGATGTAGTGAACAAACAATGGCAGCTTTCAAATCTTCTAAGCAATTCTTTTTTTCATCACCATATGCGTGCCAGGTAGGACCAACAGTATGTATAATACAGTGATATGGTAGATTGCCTGCTGTTGTGGAACAACATGTCCCAATAATTAAGTCCCCTTTCTCCATCAAGTATTCTTCACATTCCTTTTCCATCTGAGTACCTGCAGCCTGTGCTATGTTAAGAGCAATTCCCTTTGTGTGCTGAAGGTTTCTATTTGCAGGACTAACCAAACAATCAGCTTTTAGATTTTGGAGTTCACCAGGATATACTAAAATGTTTATCCCTTCTTTGGTTGTGAACTTGGTTCCATTTTTTAATTCTTGCTGCTCTGTCATTGTTGTTGTTTCCTTTGATTGGTTACCATTTTTCTTCTTTTTCTTCTTCACTGGAATAACCACACCAATTTTTACCTGTACCAAATATTTAGCTTCATGAGCCTTCCTCATGTTTGGCGCTTTAATGACAATTCTTTTCTTATTAAATGCTATATAACAGGCAATTCCTCCTACAGAGTCTTGAACTTCCTTTTCAATTTCTTCCAGGAATAGTGTCATCTTTTTCTGCAATGGAACATCAATTTCAGCCATTTTACGAATTTCTTCAATTTTTGTTTTAATTTTTTTCAGTAATGGTTCAGGATCAAGACCTTTCTTCATAGTTAAAACCAAAGTACCTTTGTCATAAGTATGTGACACAATCTGTTTAAACCATGATTCCTTTTTCCCAAGATGCATCAATGCAGTGAAATCATCCTCTGACAAATTGATGTTCAGTGTATTATCTATGAAATCTTCAAGCTCCTTTCGGATTTCTTTTGCGTCCTTTTCAGTTCCTTCTAATATAGCTTTCTTTCCTGCTTCATCCAGAGTAATATGGTATCCATTATTGTGCAGAGACTCAATTTTCCTTTTCACCTTCTTTACTGGTGGTGCTATTTTGTAAACAACCTTTTTTGGTACCTATAAAATAAAAAAATATTTATAAATAGACAACATTTAATCAACATTAAGCAGAGACTTCTCAGTGATATTATTCCATTCATTGCTGGGTTGCTGTCTATTGTTATTAGTCGTTAATAATCATCATTTATATCTAAAAGCTCTACAGACTGGCTCTAAATCAGAGACCGTTTGTCATTTGTTTACAAATTTTGTATGATACTACAACCAAATTATATTTAAAATTATGCATACTACTGAATGCAGGGGTTATAGATGAACAGAAAAGTGCATTGCACAAGTCAGCACCTAAGCTTAAGGTCCAGGAACAGTAAATGGACTAAGTCACAGATTTTGGTAAAATTTTGCATACAACTTTGGCTCATTGAACTTTAACTGACAATCAAAAATATAGCGCATTTATCTCATTTGTTTTCTGAAATACTGCTAATTGAATTCTTTCAAAATAGGTGAACATTTGTTTAGAAAGCATTAAAATCAGTGAAAAACATTTATAAATTTGTCTTAAAATCATCAAACTTCCAATTTTTAATACATAGATTTTTCTTCAAAAACTATATGTTATTGGTACAAAAATTTTCATTTTAATGACATAAAACGATCATATGGACACCAACTCTGTTTTTGGTGTATAAACCATCTGTTACCTTGTTGATAGTGAAGAACGTCAAAAAAGCTACGTTTAAGGTTGTTGATGATGATGATGATGATGATGATGGGAGTTTTTAACAACCTTGACTGGCTATACAGCCTTCGCACGGTCGGCCCTGGCTTGCACCTTTTTGGGCATTTAAATAATTTGTTTTTACCATAAAGGTAATTGAAATAATTTGAGTTGGGCTGTCTTCCTCGATCTTGGATTTTGAAATACCAGATAACAATCAGTCGTGATTTTTAATGAAATGTGCATATTTCGACAGTAGTATGTAATTCATGTGTATGACTTTTCATTTTAATATAGACAATTATGTGTTTTATCATATTTTTTGGCTGTAATTTTACAAAAAAACTGAACTTTTTATTAGATTCAATTTATTTCAACTTTGCCACATACGGGGAGATAACTCAGATAAAGTAACTTTCTTGATAAACTGTGTTGTGAATTGAGCTATTTTATAATAAAGCAAGAAAACGAGTCCAGTGACCCAATTGTTTATTTTTCCTATCTGAAAGCATATTATTAAAGCTGTCCTTTCATAGTCTATCTTAAAATCCTATGGTCTAGTTTTCTTTTTATCACACAAATTAGGTTTTCCATGCATACACATTTTTATTAAGGAGCCAGCTGAAGCCCACCTGCAGGTGAAGGATTTTCTTGCTGTGTTGAAGACCTATTGGTGGCCTTGAGCTGTTTTCTGCTCTTTGGTCGGATAGTATTCCCCATTTCCATTCTCAATTTTATAATCTATATAATCTATACAAAGTCTGACAATTTTGCACAACCTGTAGCGTAAAAAAAAGCCCAGTGACCAATACTTTTTATCATATTTTTGAAAAAGCATGATATTAACTACATTTAAACAAATTATTAAAAAATTCAATGGATATTAATTTAGACCCCCCATCTACAATAACGGTCTACAACGTTAACGTTTTGTGGTATTTTTTCACCTCGTAGACTACTTTGAATGATGTATATGATTTAAACAAAGTCGATGACCCTATTATTATTTTACATCATTAAAACTGAAATTTTTTAACAACAACATAGTGTTTAAAGAAAAATCTATAGATTAAAAATTGGAAATTTGGTCATTTTAAGACAAATCTTAGAATGTTTTTCACCAATTTTATGTGCTTTCTATACAAATCTTAACCTTTGTTGAAAGAATTCAATCAGTAATATTTCATATGGTGCATATCAATTTAGAACTTTACCTCCATGTTAGCCACATCTTTTTTGAGAATATCTAGCACCATTTCTGCATCATCTTTCCTCCCGATAGCTTGGATATGATACTTGTAAACTTCAGGTTTCTTCTCATAGAGATGCCAAGAAGATGTTTCTCCTATAAATAGGTTTAAAATATATATTGCAAAGATATCATATTTTATATGTTTAAATATAGGCTCAGTTTGGTTACATAGCTCACCTGGAAACAATTTTAATGTACTACAGACAAGAAAGTTGCTTAGATGTACTTCCAGTATCACTGTTTTTTTTAAACAGAATGATAAATTATCACTTTTAGTCTAATCGTCCTTAACGTTGGTACATATTCCACAAAATGAAAATTTTAAACTGAAAATTATTCTCAATCATTTCAATCCAGCACTAATTTTCAATTTAACTCTTTGTTCAGAAAAAAAATTAAACTAATGTCATTTTAAACACTACATGGAATTCATATTTTCCTGATTATATCAAGGATCAAATTAACTTTGCTGAATAACCTCGCTGTTTACAGTTTATCTCTATCTCTTATAATATTCAAAATAATAACCAAAAACTGCAAAATTTCCATAAAATTACCAATTCAGGGGCAGCAATCCAACAACCGGTTGTCTGATGCGTCTGAAAATTTCAGGGCAGATAGATCTTGACCTGATGAATAATTTTACCCCATTTCAGATTTGCTCTAAATGCTTTAGTGTCAGAGATATAAGCCAAAAACTGCATTTTACCCCTATGTTCTATTCTTAGCCATGGCGGCCATCTTGGTTAATGGGCGGGGTCATTGGATACATTTTTAAAACAAGTTACCCTAAGGATGATTTAGGCCAAGTTTGGTTGACTTTGGCCCAGTAGTTTCAGAGGAGAAGATTTTTGTAAAAGATAACAAAAATTTACGAAAAATTGTGAAAAAAATTGACTTTAAAGGGCAATAACTCTTTATTGGGTCAATTGACAATTTTGGTCATGTTTGACTAATTTGTAGATCTTACTTTGCTGAACAATTTTGCTGTTTACAGTTTACCTCTATCTATTTTGGTGTTCAAGATAATAACCAAAAACTGCAAAATTTCCATAAAATTACCAATTCAGAGGCAGCAACCCAACAACGGGTTGTCTGATGCGTCTGAAAATTTCAGGGCAGATAGATCTTGACCTGATGAACATTTTTACCCCATGTCAGATTTGCTCTAAATGCTTTAGTGTCAGAGATATAAGCCAAAAACTGCATTTTACCCCTATGTTCTATTCTTAGCCATGGCGGCCATCTTGGTTAATGGACGGGGTCATTGGATAGATTCTTTAAACTAGATACCCTAAGGATGATTTAGGCCAAGTTTGGTTTAATTTGGCCCAGTAGTTTCAGAGGAGAAGATTTTTGTAAAAGTTAATGGACGACAACGACGGATGACGACGGACAGACGACGGACGCCAAGTGATGAGAAAAGCTCACTTGGCCCTTTTGGGCCAGGTGAGCTAAAAAGGGGAGAAAAATCATTTGACAATAACGCTTATAAAGTGGGTCCTCTTTATAATTTGGAATTTTTCTTTTGTAATATTTTCTGTATCTTTAATACAATTAATTGAAAATTAGTCTTATTTTCCATTGCAGCCATTGTGGCTATGTTGGTTGGTTGACAGCAATCACACCCTAAGGGGCATTCATGCCAAATTTGATTGGAATTGGAACAGTGGTTTAAAAGAAGATTTGTTAACTATTAACAAACAACACACAACAGCCATGGACACCATGCAATAACTCAAATATTCCTACATACCATGACCCCCTTCTATTCCTCCATTCTTTAGATTCTTCATCATTTCTTTGAAATCTACTGTTGTAGCAAACATCCTAACGACTCTGATATAGCTCAATTTTCCGGTCAAATCTGATTTACTGTTCTCTTCATAAATTTTATCTGTATTTTTCAAGATGGTTGTCATGACTAAATCAATCTGTTTGTGCAATGACATACCTATTATATGCAAATTTATTTCATTAAATAAAACCAAGAAAAAACAGGAGACTAAAGGGATCTTTTATAGCACATATGTGCCATATCAATATGCCATCTTTAAGACTTTGAAATACAATCATTTATACTACATGTATGTGCTAATTTGAATGGCAAATTAATTTAAAGAAATAGTACTAGCTTGCTCAAATAATTTTTATAACGACTCTAAACAGTTTGTAAGGATAAATAAATATAGCCAAAAACTGCAGATTCTGGCAAATTTTGAGCATTTATCCCAAAAATGTATAAGGATATAGTTGAAACCAAAACTAAACTTATGATGGAAGTAAAGCTCTGTATTGTCTTTCAGAAACAAATTAATCAATTTTGGTTAGCAATGTCCTTCAATTAAAAAGTGACAAAAACATGTTAAGTTTGCAATTTTATATCAAAATGACTTCACAGCAACATATAGTACTGAACTTACTTTTCTATGTGGATTTTATGGCAATACAAAATATATGTAAAATTATGAAACTATATTTTAAGTATTTGATATAGGCTTTAAATTTCCACTAGAAAGGACAACTTTCAAATACTGACCCTGTAAGTGAAACAAATACAGGGGAAATTGGCCCCACCCCTTTTTGAATTAACTGTATTTATGGTTTGATGCACAACTGCATGATGTACGTTATTTAATTGTATTTAATGTTATAGAATGAAGATTACAAACAAAAATAAAAAAAGATAAAAATACTTGAACTTGGCTTTGTATTTTTCTCGTCTGTCCATGGTCCAAATGATGATGGTCTGCTATCTTTAATTATAACTGAAAATATATCCCAAGACATTTATCTAATATGTAAATTAGTTGTGATATTTCGTTTGATCCTCTATGTATAAATAGAATTCTAAAAATGAGCACCTATATAAAAATAAGGAGATGTAATATGATAGCAAATGAGACAACTATCCACCAGAGTTCAAATGACGGAAGATGTAAGCAATTATAGGTCATTGTTGGCCGTACAGTTACCTATTGTTGTTAACCTTTATGTCATTTGGTCTCTGGTGGAGAGTTGTTTCATTGTCAATCATACCACATCTTCTTATTTCTATATGCTATATAATAAATAAAGCACATCTTAATTTCTTTCCAAAAAATTCAATTTCGAAAAAATAGACTAAAACAATAGTTTCTCATAGAGTTTCTGTCTGACTGATGTATACCCCATATTTCCCTTTATTCATTATAACACTGTGAGGTCAGACTTATCTAAACAAACAAAAAAGATATTTTAGCTAAAATGTACAATATGTACTATCTATGGGATCATTTTTACCAGAATGCCGGTTTTAACTTATGAAATGGATTTAAATAATATTACAGATGATAAAAGAAAAACACTTAATAACAGCTTGAAAGGTCCTTTATGCTGGACAAGTCTTTAATCACCTGATTCTCTACTGTTAAGCAAGAAGATGTCAACTACATGGAATCTACGTAATTCAATCATTTCTGACATTTTCTTCAATCCTTCAATCAAAGATTTTTCTGTTCTAACTATTTTGATTTTTACAGTATAGCTTCCTTTGACCATATCCCATTCAAATTTTCCAACTTCTGAAAAAATATATATGGCATAGAATTAATTTTGTTTTGAAGAAACATTAGCTATATATATATTCATCATGAGATCCACAGATGATCACCAACAGGAATTTACTCTTTAATCTGAGATTTTCCAATTATACCCAGGGTAAATAAATGACATTAGAATATGTTCCTTTTCACCGGTATTCTAGTCTAATGTGACTGTTTATCCCATCAATGCAAATATTTCATTTGAAAATACTGAAAAATTTGACACATTTCCAGGCCATGAATTCAATAGTTTGTATCTAGTTGGATAACAGCAGCCGAAACAATATTTTTTGGAAGGTAACGATTCTCTTATTTACCTCACTATCTTTACCTTTTCAGGAATACAAAATGTAAAAGGAAACATACTATGCTAAATATGAAATTGCCATTGGCAGTAAGTAAATAAATAAACCTGTAAGAATTTATTATTTTTTTCAACAATTAACATTTCTAAAATACATATCTGTTAACAAGGGAGATATCCCAAACCCATAATACTAAATTTCATTATTGCATTTAACCACTTTTAAATAAATTCTTGCACATTCACTTTCTCACTTGTAATCAATTTTTTAATGAAAAAAACTGAATATTTAAATCAGCATCAAAAAGTTTGCACATGTCTTGACATGATTCATTTTAGTCAATATGCATTCTCAGAGGTTGACAGTTAATATGAGATGTGACATAAATAAATAAAAATAAATAATCTTTATTTCAAGAGGATAATCCAATTAATAATAACTAATCTTCCTGAGAGTCCTCAAAATAATAATAACATATAAAGTACATACAATATTAAATGATATATACACAATATACAATTTTATATAGATATTAATGAAAAAGCATACTAATTTGCACAATTTCTGAAAAAATTGTAACATTTTGATTTAAAAGATACAAGCTGAAGTTTGTTACTCATCTTTATTTCATTTGGTAAACTGTTCCATATTTGAGAACCAGAATGTATAAATGTTTACTTCAAAAAATTTGTTTTTGGCTTCGGAAGATTTAATTGTTTTTCATCAGCTGAATGTAAATTGTAATTTTGATTATCAGTAAAATGAAAGTTTTCTTGTTAATAGTTAGGAACCATATCCTTTAATGATTTAAATACAAGCATTGCCCCTTGATACTGAATTCATTTATCCACATTTAATCAGTTTAAACTATTAAAAAATAAACTTGAGGATGTCATTATGTCAACTTCTACTTTAACCCTGGCAGATTTCTTTTACAACTTATTAAGTTTATTTAGTCCACTTTCATAACAACTACCCCATATATTGCAACAATAATCAATCAATGGCAGGATATAAGCATTAAAATAAATAATATGTATATGCATAGGTAAATACTTTTTTATCTTTTGTGATAAGTTGATTGTATTTGATATTGTACATGACATTTTATCTATTTGCTGATTCCAATTTAGGTTTTTGTCGATATATAAACCAAGAAGTTTTTCACAATCTACATTCTCTATTTGTTCATCTGAAATATTGATATCTAAACTGTTCCCAGTTGAATAAAGGCTCTGTTTTGAACCAATAATCATTGATTTACATTTTTTGGCATTTAGTTTCATACAATTTTTCAAACACCAGTTTTCAATTATATAAATATCATTTTGAAGGTTAGCATTTAAATCATGTACATTTTTACCTTTACTATGTAAAGTAGAATCATGTGCATATAAATCTATTAATGACTTTTCTATGTTCAGTGGTAAATCATTGATGTATAAAATAAATAATAGAGGGTCAAGGATAGAGCCTTGTGGTACACCAGTTTTTATGTATTTAGTATCAGACATGATGTTGAATTCGTTCTAACAAGTATGACTTAAACCAGTCTAGTGTACAGTTTGAAACATTATAATAATCAAGTTTTTTTAATAAAATTATATGATTAACCAGATCAAAAGCTTTCTTTAAATCTAAAAATATATCTCCGTTTATTTCTCCATTATCTATATTTGTTAACCATTCATCTACTAATTTAGTAAGTGCAGAAGTGCATGAATGTTTAGGTCTGAAGCCAGACTGTGTAGTATTAAGGTCATTACTATTCAAATATATATACAAACTATCAGCGATATATGTCTTTCAATAATTTTGGAGAGGCAAGGCAATATGTACCATATAGTATATAATGTATGAAATAAATAATATTATAGTCATTAAACCTGATTTGAAATCATTTCTTAAGTGTCTCCCATTTAACAAATGGTTAATTGTCTCCCCTTTGATAAATGGTTAATTATCTCCCCTTTGATAAACGTTCTGGGAATATTGAAGATTATTAAGCATTCACCTCTAATGGGTGTTTGTGTTAGATTCTTTCATGATGATGCTGAAGGGAATAATGTTGAATTTTTAAATATTTTTTACTTACCCACTTGATTTTCTTTCGACACAAAAACAATGTTGATCATGACCTCTTTATATCTCATGTCTTTATAATCGTCAGTCCTTGCAACAATAAATCGCATGCCATGTTTCTTGTGAATACTTCTTATATGTTTGGGGGGTAAATCTAAAAATTCAGAAAAAGCAGAATGCTTTGAATCATGAAAAAAATAGTTTGAAAAATAGAAAAATAATAAAAAAATCTATTCGGAGTTGTCTCCCATAGGCCTAGGTCTATAAATTGATTAAGAAAACATCTTTTCTCCAGGTCACAGTGGCTTCCAAATGACTTAATGTTTTGTCAATCATATAGTTCACATCTTACTTTGTTTAAATGTGTATACATGTTTTTGTTAAATGTTCTTTAATCACTCTAATCATTCAAATCATTTTCTGTGCTGTATTTTGCAATTCATTTGATTGTAAAGCTCAAATTTTAGGCACCATGCATGATTGGTTAATAAGAAAATATCTTATCTTATCTTACAAAACAATAGGAAAGACAGGAACCTTTAATTCTGTGGTTGTCATTTGTGTGATGTATACCATATTTTTTTCTCGTTTATTGTTTTGTAAAAAAATCAGGCTTTTGTGTTCTCTTTTGAATTGCTTTATATTTTGTCATGTCAGGGCCTTATATACACGCAGCTTGCTATTCAGTATGAGTTTGGCTCATTTTTGAAGGCAGTAAACTGACATATAGTTGATAACATCTACAACATTTGGCCTCTGGTGGATAGTTGGCTCATTGGAAAATATTTAACATCCTCTTATTTTTAACATTCTACAGATTTATTTTCAATCAGTTCACAGCTAGCTTTCAAAAATCTAGGATCTGTTTTAAACTTTTACATGTAGTCTACCACCTGTCTTGTCAGATGACAATTTCTACACAAACTAGAGACTCTCAGGAGTCTGAATGGCTCACCTTGCAAAAATATGCAACATTGAAATCATTGGCAACAATGGCAGCCATCTTTCACACACTTAAGTAAGTTATGGCCAGGTGTGATCCTCTTTGCTTCTCTAAATATCTTAACACCTATGTTGTATTTGCGTATTGTTGTTTGTCTGTTTGTCTTTTACTTTTTTAGTCATGGCGTTGTCAGTTTATTTTCGACATATGAGTTTGAATCATGGCTTCCAAAACGGTCATATATTCTGGACGTGACCCGATATTTATATAAAAATTCCGGCTGCTCTCAGCCTCAAACGGTCAAATATCATAGGTTTGCCACTTTTTGTTATTCAAGGCATTTTCATAAAACGGTCAGTTCACTTTTTTACCAACTATCGATCGCTAAAAATGTCCGTTTGGGCATTATAGTTTATAATTGTGGCAATCTATTTCACAAAGATATTTCGGTCATATTTGGGTTTAATTAAACTGATGAAGCATATTTCATACTTTGAAGTGTCTCAGTTAGTCTAATCCTCTGGGCACACAAATGCACGGCTTGGTACATCAATAAAAAGTAGAAAAAACATTTGTTCTTTTATTTAAAAAACAACAAGCTGTCAAACAATTATCCCTTCAATAAGTAATATTGAAGCCATAAATCATTCACTGATTACAGGTTATTACCTTTGATGAGAGACCTTAGCTTGTCTTAATCAATAGAATTGATGATGCATAACAATGAACATAAAGGTGATCAGGTAAACGAGGTCAAACATGTAAGCGTGTATGGAACTACATCCTATTTAATTACGCTTTGTAGATATTATTGTAAATGAGCATTCAGTTTTAAAAAAGTATCCTTAGATTTTAAAATAATTCTTCAAATAAGAATATTTATAAATGAATTAGAATTTGTATGATATTCATTATTATATTTAAAAACACTGTACATCGTGTTAAATACTGGGGTACGCTAAAGGGTATTCAAAGTTATTTTCTTACATTTCAGCGGGTTGCATCTAATTAATTTAGTTTAAAAGATTGAAATTATAAGAAATACGTTAATAAATATGATTTGATGAACAATTTGAAAAGGTTTTAAACGAATAATCGTCAAAACCATGTTGTTTGAACTAGTACACGTGTGCGCATGTGTCTATTGTCCGCTGGTGGGAAATTTAATTATGCATCCTAATTCTTCAATAATGCTAAAATTATCATTGATACCTTTATCTAACGTTCATTTCGAGTATTTTCTTGAAGAAATACCGGTAACTTGAAAAGGCTACTTTACTCAATCGTTAACTTACACGGATATTACGTATCCGTCTCTGATCCGTGATTTACCATTGTCAAGTCAACATCCGGCATAAGAAAATGTGATTTTACAAACGAAAGTAAAGCTTTTGACAGCGATATTTTGCACAAATAAAGAGTCTAAAGCGGAATTAGGCAGAATTAGTACGCTGATGTTGCACACTTCGAATGCTGCACTTTCAATTTAACACTTTACATCAGAACATCGAATTTATATCAAAGTAAAGTTTAATATTGTTTTAATGTCAATCATTGCCATTGGTTAAATCATATATGATGGCCAACTGATTATCATAGTTGCCTAATTTACTAAGTCTAAAGGGATTTAAAATCGGGATAAGATATGAAATGTCCGGCTGGCTCAAAAAAATTTTGGAAGCCCTGGTTGGAATGTCCCTTGGGTATCCTTTGCCTCTTTTTACAGCAGGAATTAAACTTACAAATGAATTATAAAAATTTTAATATATAAAGTAAAAACATCATTTGAACAACTTTCTATCTCATACTTACTAAAAGAGGTCAGTTGATTTTTTCTACTGACCATCCAGTCCTGTACATTTTCAAAAATCTGAAATTTTGTAAAATAATAAATTTTCTTTTAATTTACAAGAGAAAACTAACAAATGAATTATTTAAATCTATCAAATCCATGAAATATATGACTCGCACAACAAAACATTTAAATAAAATACAATGCTCTCCAATACATACTTATTGGATCATAGTGCATGAGTAAATCATTGGTTTCAAATAAATTTTTAAAAAGTGAGCAAAGTTTATATCAAATATATAGGAAATATCATAGTGCCTTTACAATATCACATCTGCATCAGCCAGAGATACCAATATAATCCCAAGAGCTCTACTCAAGGGATTATATTAGTTCAGTGTTAATTAGGTGTGTGATATTGAAAAAGCCACATATTTACCTTTTATTTTATACCTCCAAGTAGATGTTTCTCACGTGAGTCGAGACTTGATGTAATACAGATTAGGGATTTGATAAAGCCTTTGCAACCGTGACTGATATCGATATCATCACCAAAGGCTCATACAGCACAATTACTATTGATTGTATTTAATGATATTGCTAATTTTTCAAAAGTTAATTCCTTGAAAGTTTCTGCTTTTACTAATAATCTTTCAAAATGCATTCTAAAATGGTTTCATCCATCTGATGAGTTAAGCCCTTTTCAACTGATAGTTTATTCTGTATTAGTTTGTTCTTATGTTGTACTGTTACACAACTGTCCCAGATTAGAGGAGGGTTGGCGCACCTTCAAACTAGTTTAACCCGCAACATTCTGTGTGTGCCTGTCCCAAGTCAGGAGCCTGTAGTTCAGTGGTTGTCGTTTGTTGCTGTATATTATGTTTGTTTTTCGTTCATTATTTTGTACATAAATCAGGCCTTTAGTTTTCTCATTTGAATTGTTTTACATTTGTGATTTCAGGGCCTTTTATAGCTGACTATGTGGTATGGGTTTTACTCATTGTTGAAGGTCAAACAGTGACCTCTAGTTGTTAATTTTTATGTCATTTGGACTCTTGTGGAGAGTTTTCTCAGTGGCAATCATACCATGATGATCTTCTTATTTTTATATCTTGTGATATTACCACCAATCTATCTTTTACATATTCACATAATGAAATACCTCAATTACTTCTTTTTCAATAGGATTCAGTACAAAATCAACACTTTTCAAATGCACTGGTTTTTCTATCTCTCCAAATGTTTCTACTGCTTTAAACATCACCTTGGCAACCAAAACTGGTGGAAAAACCAATAAACTGGAACCGAGAGCCGGGAAAGCTATACTGGTAAATTGTCTTTTTTCTGCTTCAGCTAAACACCTTGTTATGAACAGTTTCAACATCTACAAGTTAAATCACAGTAAAATTATATTATTGTAAAATTCGTCAATCTGATATGTCTGCCTATTGGAGCAGCATAAGATGAGGAAAATGAATTTGAAGATAGGTCACACTTTACAGAATTTACTGAGCATCATAAAATTCAATCTTTTTCAGCTAAGATTTCTTTTAAATAAAAAAAAAAATCTGTTATTTTAATTTGCTATTTCAGAGTTTCTACTAGTCACAAGTAACAACTGTTTTAACATTTATTGGTTGTATTTTTATTTTTTATCAAAACTTACTTTGGTGTACACCAATTGCATGTCTAAAAGGTGCTGGACTTAAAAAAAAACACTGCTGAAAAATACATATCACAAAACAACAAGGAAAAGAAGTTTAAGCTTGTATTTTAAAAAAGAAATTACATTATGCATAAATTCTCATTGACATTGGGTATTTTTTCATTCAATGAATATCATTTACATGCTTTATGAAAATAAATGATTATGTAGAGGCCAATAAATTACCTTCCTACTGGTAAAAGAACTACATTATATGCAATGTGCAACCTAACCCTCCACACAATGAAATCATGGTAAGTGCTCTTGTGTGCCTGTGACCTGCAAATTCAAGAATGAAAAATATAGCCAAATTAAATAGGTACAGAACATCTCTGATTTTTTTTTTCATATGCTAAAATGTCATCCCCATTTTCCCTTACCCCTGTCTACCCCTCAAATATCTTCAGGTAGATTTTTATTTTTATTTACTTTTAATAGTATCAATCACATGTTTATGCGTCTATCCCAAAGAATCATTAATAATTTCAATATACTGAACAACTGAAAACCAACTTATTATTCTAGGATTATCATTTAATGTAACTTAAGCTTGTTTTTAGAAAACTTTTTTTGCAAATATTTAACTTTGTTGATGCATTTGTAAAAGAGAAGATCTAAGTTTCACATACCAGGGTATATATCCATGACATTTTATATTTAGACTTATTTTTCAACATATCCACGAGTCCAGGACATTTTATATTTAGCTTTATTTTTCAACATATCCATGAGTCCAGGACATTTTATATTTAGCTTTACTTTTCAACATATCCACGAGTCCAGGACATTTTATATTTAGCTTTATTTTTCAACATATCCATGAGTCCAGGACATTTATATTCAGCTTTTATTTTCAACATATCCATGAGTCCAGGACATTTTATATTTAGATTTTTTTTTAGCCTATCTATGAGTCCATGACATTTCATATTAAGCTTTATTTTCAACTCGGGATGAACATGAAAAATAAATCACGTATAAAAATTAGTTGGTTTTAGTATCTAATAAGGTGATCTCTAAAATATGCAAAAACCAGAACATATCTCATTGGCATTCATACCACCTCTTCCTATTCTTTATCCTGCCTCAGACCTTATCTTTAGTAGTGTCTAAAACCATCTTTATCATATAATACAAGATCTAGATCTATTCGTTACCTTTACAGACAAACTTCCATTCATAATCCAACCGAAGAGACATCCATGGAATATTTTCTGACATTTCAAACGTCCAGGCTCGGTAACTGCCACATCACATACCCCTATACCATCAGGATAGGCCTGGAGATACTCTGGTACAATGATATCTCTACCTGCTTTGTGTATAAGTTGTCTAGATACTACACCATACTCCAGATCTTTGTGATTTGTAGCATTTACTACAACATCCACCTAAAATATGTAAATAATATAATTATATATGTCAGTGGTCAAGTGGTCTAAGTAGTTCATCTACAGTGATCACTAGCCTGTCGAAATTGAGGTTGTGAGTTTTAACCCAACTCGTGGCGAGGTTGGTTTAACTCTGATCTTACTTGACAAAGGTTGTCAGTTTCCATGCCAAATGTTGGTACCTTCTACTGGTTCTTTTAAATATTGCTAGGACAGACGTTATATTGTAGTGATTTTAACACATATCATTGCCATAAATTAATAAAAAAAATAACAACGTTGTATGCATCATGGAACTTATTGACTATAGAAAAGTCTTTTATTTTCTTCAGGTTGGCTAGCTTGATAGACTCCACCTGCTTTCATATGTGTGACATGGCCACATTTCATGCAAATAGATTTGACAAGTGTATATCAATGAATTCAGATGCCTTTTATTAGCCAATTTAGTTAAACTTCTTTCTGTATGTGCCTGTCACATGTCAGGAGCCTGTAATTCAATGGTTGACATTTGTTAAAGTATATCTTATTTGTTTTTTGTTTGTTGTTCTGTACATAAATTAAGTTGTTGGTTTTTTCATTTGAATTATTTTACATTTCTTAAGCCTTATTTAGCTTGCTATGTGGTATGGATTAAATATCTCGTTGTTGAAGACGGTAGTGACCTTTAGTTGCTAACATTAACGTCATATTGTCTCTGTTGGATATTTGACTAATTGGCAATTATACAACATCTTCTTATTTTATACTGAACACATTAAATTTCAATACTTAAAAAAAACCTCTGACATCATAGATACCAGGCTTATAATTTTGTACGCCAGATGAATGTTTTCGTTTACAAAAGACACACCAGTGAATTTAATTTTCAGTCCCTGATACTATAACATCATTTTACCTAAAGGAGATTATAAGATCATAATGGGTAATGATAAGTTATCCTTTGGCAATCCAAACTTAGTCTGGCCATCGTTCAAACGTTTTTTTTGTATAGACTTCTATAATATCATTTGTTGATATGAATTTAGTTTTTACCTTGTCATCCACATCAACAATGGATCCTTCTACTATATTTACTGTTATGGATGATGGCTGTTTCTCTACAAGAATAAAACTTTTTATAGATTTAATCTAAAATTCATTTAAATTTTTTCCCTATTAACATCTTTAGAAATATATATAGAGGCAAAATTTACTGTGCATAAAAAATTGTAATAGGAATGTAAATCGTAAGCCTGAGTTTAACATTACGTAACTGAATTTACACTTAAACTAAGGTTGCAACTCTTTTCAGCAAAGTTGACTCAAAAAGATTTTTTCTGTTCTTTGAAGGCCATGTTTAGTTCATGATAGTCCAATATATGTGAACTGAAAATCTGTATTATATATTTTTCTTGCACATATAGAACTACAGATTATACTTAATATAGTTAAACCTACACATGAGAAAATCATTAACAAGCTTGAATATCAAGGTCTTTTTTATGAACATCCGTTCTGGGCATGTTGCAAAAAATCTTTTTATGGTTTAATCCAATACACATCACAAACATCTAAAATTTGGAACTATTAAAAAATTAAGTGTCATTAAGTGAATTAGATTTTTCAAGAAAAAGCCTTTTAAAATCAAGGGGAGATAATCAAATTTGATAGGACAATTTCTGTTTTTTTTGATTTTTCAAGACAATAAGGCTTATGACCACAAATTTTTATTTGATATTTCAGAAGTATTTATGAAAAGCAATTTTCTCACTGAATTGTAACAAATTCTATAAAGTTTCCTCAATAAGGAAAGATTAAGTTTCTCCAATATAACCCATTTATACAAAATAACTGTAATTTTGTTAACTTCAACATATTTTAAAGAAAAAACAAAGTCTGTTACCCCATGTTATCATCTTGAAATTTGAAAGTAAATTGACCCATAAGTTTTTTACAGAAGTTTAAGATAAGTCAGAATGCTATCAACGAACATTTAGACATCCTAGCAATCTTAACATAGGAAAACTTCAATCGATAGTACATGTATGCATACCTGTTAGTAAGGGAGGATGTTTATCAAACACAATTCTTGACATGTGACCAAGGATGATGATTTCTGATATCAGAAAATCATCAATATCTTCTACAGTACTTAAGGTGTCTGCATATCCATACAAATGAACAAAATGTCCAAACTTTTTCCGTAATTTCCAAAAATTGTTAATCAATATGGAGGCATACATATGAGAAGGAAAATCATCAGCAATATCTAATGGTATACCAAGGCTACGGTACCCAGTATGGGCAATAATGTTAATGATCCTACGAGCACAGTTGTACAGTAAAGACAATGTTACATCACGTTTTCGTGCCCAAGGGGGAATAACTGTGAGAAGTAACATTTGACATTTAAGGTTGCCTGTATTTTGGATCACAATGATTTCTTCTGGTTCAATGGCTGTTCCCGTCTCTTCACTGTTTTTGAGGAGCTTTGCTATGTCAGCATCAACAGCTTTTCCACCTACAATGAGCAATAAATGAACTTTTAGTCAGAGTTCCAAATCATGATCTGAAATAATTTGACTTTTGTCCATAAACATGCATGCTTAGCTCTATTCTCAGAATTTTGTTAAAAAGTGTTTTTAGAAGGCATTTTTTTGTAATATATCATTTTACAATAGATTCTCCATACATTTGAGACTCTCATATCATGCCTAAGAGCATAACTACATGACAATTGTGAGAATAGACATGTTTATATTAGTCTATTTTACACATATTTGAACATGACTTATAATAGCATATCTTTTTATTGAACCTAAGATTCAGAATATCTCAAATATATTTACTTGATGTAGCTGAATAAATGTTTTGTAACCCTCCATTTTAAAACTTTTACAGTAGTTAAATTTTCATTACAATTTCTTGCATTTTTTACCTAAGAAGATTTATATTCAGATCCCTGAGTAATGTGCTGTAATATTGTTTGTCTGGCCAGTGTACTGCGTTTATCTTGGATTTAATGTTTTCAGATTGTGCTTTTCGTAGTTAATATCTTTTAAAAGTAAGTATTTCATATTTTTTTTACCAAGGTGACATGAAAGTTATTCTTAGTATACTTTTTTTATTCCTTACTTTAACTTGTTTTTGTTCAAAAGGACTATCAGACTCTTTCACAGTTGTATCTTTACTGATATGAAATCCATATGTTCCTGCTATAAGACTTTCATAAGTTCCAAAATAAAGAGCATCTCAATTATTCTGACCGTTTTTTTATTTCAAAATGTAGAATGCCATATTTGTGTGCCCTCATTGTGAAATCTACTTTTCATTGGTAATACATGAAATTATAGCAACGACCAGTTACTATTAAATGATTGATTGATTGATTGTTGGTGTTTAATGCCACTTTCAGCACTATTGGCTTCATCAGATCAGCCAGTTTTTATTGGTTGAGGAAGCTTGAGTAACTGGACCTCAGCAGGAAAACAGAGATTCTATTCAAACTTTTAACATATTGTAGATATACTGTGGATTCATTATTATTCGTTGGATACCAATTTTCGTGGGTTTCGTGGGTACAGGTGAACCACGAATTCAAATGTTCAACGAATTACAAATTTTCTATAGGCTTTGTATGCAGAGATTGGCTAAACCACAAAATCAGATATCCACGAAAATGCAAGTTTTTCGCAATCCACGAAAATTGATACCCACGAAAATAAATGAATCCACAGTAATATGAAGGTTACCTTTTCTAAATATGTCTTTGCCACAGCCAAATGGTTCCAGATTTGTTGTCACAGGACAAATAAGAACATCACATTCACTTGTCTCCACTGGACCAACCATTGTCATAATGTGCATCATAGCATCTCTATGGTTACCTAGCCAACCAGAATGGAGACGTGCTTTGTTGTCTATACTGATGATGCAATGTTTTTGCTTTCCCAGTTGGACACATTTTTCTTGTACAGCTTTAGTTAAATGCTGTGTATTGCCAAATGTATGATCTAATGAAATAAACAGCTCATTTGCCATTCTTTCAACATCAGTTTTGACAATACTAGGATCTTTTCCATGCAATTCAATATGATTGTCTAAAAAATTATGGTCAACTTTGTACAAATGGCACAAAGCCTTCAGCTTCAAATCGGAAAATTTTTGAAAGTATTCTAATTTCCATCCCGGCAAAGGAACATTGAGTATCTGGACAGTACCATCTTCAGGACCTGGGGACGAACTAAATATTCTCTGATATCGCACAAATTGATCGTTTGTCATCACCAGAACTGTATCCCCTTTCTTTTTACGTGGCACAGCAGATACTTTATTATTATCTTGGAGAAACTGTTTTAACTCTGTAAATTCAAACTGTTCATTTTCAATCTCTATTGTTTGGATACAATCCTTGATGACCTTTGAACCCTCTACAGCAACATCTTGTGATGGTGCAAACACTAATAAATCAAAAACTTTATCATTTACTTCCCAAGAGCACATAACTCTTTCATGCAAAAGAATAAAATTTACATATTCTGCCACTTCTGGTTTCCTCAGAAATTTTGATCGGATATTTCCAATATTATCTAGCCTGGTAACCACCTGTTTACATTGTTTATCTATCTGGTACCTAGCTTCATCAATACTCTGTTGGACTTTACCTCTCATCATTACAAGATCTTCTTTAACTTCTATTTCAAGATTAATATCTCTCAATTTGTCAAAGAACTCATTTTTTTCCAAAACTTGCAATTTGTTTTTGTTAAGTTTGAGTACTTCATCAAATTTATTCTGATTTGTATGAGAAGGGTTTTCTAGTTCTCTCTGTGGTTCTATAAATAGAAACAAAAATCAGAAAGAGCATATCTTTTTGTTGTTTTATAAGCATAAATACTGATATTTTAAAAATAAATGGGGAATGTGTCCATGGGACACAGATGATGCCCCCGCTTGCATATAACGTTATAAAGGGACATAACTCGAGATACTTGATCTGAGTTTTGTGGTAATAAGCATTGTGTATAAGTTTCATAACATTTGGTTGAGGCAAACTAAAGTTAGAGAACGGAAACCAATTTTGGACGTACCGACGTAGGAACGTACAGACGTACAGACGGACAAGGGTAAAACTTAATGCCCCCTCTGCTACAGCGGTGGCATAAAAACTATTGATATATTCTCAAACATAGCTAGGGGAGCCCAGAGCCCCTCCTTTTAGAGCTTCAAATATGATAAATGCATGGATTCTTTACAAGTATCACTCCAAACTTTGGCTTGCCAGGCCCTGTTGATGACCCCCATCCCCCCTTTTTTTCCAAAATCCTGGATCCACACCCGACTCTGACTGAGACTAACCTGGGAAACTATCTTACATATCATATAACCCTTAATTAGGCTTTATGCTTATCTGTAGTTCTATCTATATTTACTATTTTCAATGTTAAGTAAAAAAGGTGCAATGTGTCATATATTGGCTCAAAGATAGACTTTTAGTAAAACAAATTGATATATAATGCATATGGATCACTGACATTTACATTTTGTGTATTAGTGTTATTCTGAGTATTCTTTATTTTAATTGCATAGCATGTTGTTTCTGGTTTCAATGGCACATAAACATTTAAATACCTTAGTGTTGCTGAGTTCATCCCCAGTTTTGGTGGTGTTCATTTTGCCCCTTTTCAGGTTTCTTTGTAGAGTTTTGTGAATTGGACTTGTTTGTCTTATTACTGTTTTTATTTCACCAATATTGTATCAATATAAAAATAAGGAGATGTTGTATGATTGCCAATGAGACAACTATCCACCAGTGTTCAAACAACGAAGATATAAGCAATTATAGGTCACTGTACAGCCTTCAACAATGAGTAAAACTCATACTGTAGTCATCTTTAAAAGGTCACAACATGAAAAATGTTAAACAATTAAAAAAAAGAAAAATACATCTGTTAATTCTTCATTGAGGAGTGCCACTAAACATGCTTTTAAATAGGAGCTATTATAACTAATGGCAGGGATATATATTTTCCTGTCTATCATCCTTATATTGCCAGTGTTTTAAAATGAAATTTACTTTTTCCTAGTTCCAATTTTAACAATGTTTAATATACTGTATATGCAGAAATTATTGCAAGGATTTTATTAATGCAAATAATGGGACTCTTGAGTATCGCAATATTTTGATATATGATATATATATATATATATATATATATATATATATACATATATATATAAACAAGTCTAAATTGAAAACAACGTTCAAACCATATATATATCTGTATATGTAGCATTTCCTTAAATGGTAATAATTAAACTTGTATTTTTGTTCATTCTTCAAAAATCAAAATATTATAAATGCACACAATATAATTTCTGGTTTTACAGTAACAAGTTATTAAATGTAGTTCTCTAATTCTTCGTCAATTTATCCCTTTCTGCACCCATTGTATAAAAAAATTTAATCAACGTGTGGTTCGTTTGATCTCAGTTCTTCATTGGTTAAAATCCGATTATGCATCGAATTTTCTTGCTTTCCTCTGAATTTCCTATTGTGACGGCATGAAAAAAGGCGACCATGCCTGATGACGTCACATTAAAAGAACACATCTTTTTGCAGATCATTCGAAAAGAAGGAATAAATTTGCCTGCGTATTGTTTGAAAATCATTAGAGAAACAGATTCCACCACCAAATCTCGTGTAATATGATATTTATCCACTCTCGACAGTTAAATTTTAAATATTTAAAACGCTCGGCAAGCCTCGCTTTTAAATTTGAAAATTTAACTGTCTTGAGTGGATAAATATCGTATGCAGTGGTAGAATCTATATTTATCTGATATAATATTTTCATTTTTGCCTTGGAACTGCAGGTGTTAGGGATTGAAGGAATCAATGGTGGGTAGCTGTCACATTTGCAATTATATGACATCTCCCTCTATTTTAATTTCATAGAGATGCAAGTGATAAAATGCTTATTTGTACTATCTCTCCATATCAAAGTTTACCATGATCATTTTCCTTCTTCTGATCTTTCTTTTCCCCGCCATTTTTGAGGATAGGTTTGCGTGGAGCACCATTTTGTTGACTGCTGGTTGTAAGAACAGATTTTTCAGTTGTTTTTGATGTTGCTCTAGTGTTACTAGTGTTGACAGTTGTCTTTGATACCGCCCTCTGTTGTCTGTTAACTTTATCTGCCATAATGCTCTGTAAAAATGACAAAAGTGAATCTGCCTATATAGTTGTAATTACTTTCAAGTTAAAAATTTACATTTCTGAAATCAAGTTCCCTATAAAAACAAGAAAAATGTGAGCCATTGCTCACTAAGTCTAATGTTACCCCAGTTTTAAGTTCTCAATTAACAGGAGGCTGAGATAACAAATTTCAGGCATGCTCTTATTTGTAGTTTCTTAGAAAAATGTGACAAAATTCCATTTCTGGCCATTAATATGTGTTAGAATTGTAAGTATTCTGTAAACAGGAAGTTAATAAGTGAGGAATATCAGGAAACTTGTCACACAATATAGAATGTTCACATTAAATTTGATAACAAAAATTGTTAGGTTTTTCTTGTACTTTGGTAATTTCATACTTATTAAAATGGCCGTTATTTGTTAGACCTAAAATGTATTCAGAAAACAGGAAGCTGAGGAGTGATGAATTTGAAAACACATCATAAAGAATAGCATGCTCACAAAAAGCTTGATATCGAATTTCTGGAAGATTTGATAAATAGTTAAGGACAAATGTGAAGAAAATTTCATGTGACTGACAGACGTACAGATGGACGGACAGACAGACAGGGGTAAAATAGTGTATTCCCTCTCCTTTGAAGCAAGGGTATAACAAATCAAAATGGATTGATTCCAGCAGGGAATTTGGGGTATACAATATCATGTTACCATGGGATTTGAGCCTTTCGCACTCTCTGTTAACATGGTTAAGCCAATAGCCATCAAAATTTGACAGATAAGATTATTAACTCCCTTTATTGTATGCATTTTTCTAGTAAAGTGTTTTCTTTATTTTTACTTTTTACTCTTTGAATGCTTGATGTATTTTAATATTTTTGGTGAATTACCATCACACTATCATGATTATACATGATAAAACATCAGAGTAGCATTTGAGTAGTCAAATGGAGTAAAATATAAATGTTAACGTCATAATTTTAAGGTTCATCGGGAGGAATTAAAATATATGACCTTGTTTATACCACAAAATTTGCTATGAATACGTGCTGACAAACTTGTGCACCTGGAAAAGTTTTAAGTTTCAAATTCGAATTTAATTTTCAATTTTCTGAAATATGAAATGCAATTAAATTTTATGCCTTAAAACTTTTCTAGGTGCACAGGTTTGTCTGTACATAAGAGTAAATTTTCACCCTCTCAAATAAAATTTTACCCCTGACTGAGAAATATGTAATGATTAATGAAACCAATAGGTAATATAATTGATGAAATTATTAAATGTTGACTATTCCTAGAACATGCGAGACTGAGAGAAAAAAAATACCAAAAATAAAAAGGGGAGATAAATGCAACCTTCATGTATTGATTAGCATTTCAACTGTTTGAAATGATAAAATGTTGAAATTATAACCATACTCTTTCATGATTTCATTTGTGATCCTATTAAGTTTTTATTATGTCTGATCAGAAACAAGTATAATATTTAATATGTAGGGAAAACGGTACTATTACATTTTTCCAGCATTAGGTTGGCCTTTTGTGTACCCAAGGCAGGTGAAGGAAGTCAAATTAGGAGCGCTGTGAATGGATGTAAGGGTAGTATATATTTTTTTATTTATCTATGAATAACTGCAGTGTGTATATTTACAATATAAATTTTAAAACCTATTGAAATATTTTCTAGAGAATTATTCGAAAAGGCTTCCAAAATTTCATAAATTTGGTGTAAAATGACGGTGGGCATGGATAACATAAACAAGCTCCGTTGGAAATTGGTCATGATACTATTTGGCTTCAATTTTTAAAATAGAATAATAAAGTTCTAACACCACACATAACTGTTTTATCCAGGTTTTTATTATAAAAAGTGGTAAATTTAGAAAATGTTAGTATTGTCGCCTATGGCAGAATAAATAGTACCGTTTTCCCTATACTCAAGATAGCAAGGGAAATCAAAATCAAGCAGACTTCAGTCATATTTTACTATTTTGAAGCATTTGATAAGTACATTTGATTTTTATCACAAAGAATAGAATTTTTTAACTGAGAACAATACTGTGTTGAGAAAAGTGGGGAGTCATAATAATAAGTCAAATTGATGGGTACTGATATAAAACTTTATTCTAGGATTTCAATATTAACTATATTGTATAAAATGCACCAAACTATAGTTCTTTTGTAGTTGTTTTCACCTTTCGCAATGATTAATTCAATTGAAAACACCAGCATTCAAGTCGCGACAAATATTTTTAACTGAAATATTTGCCTCTTTTGCTGTGTAATTCCCTGAATGTATCACTTGGGTATTTCTCTAGACATAATCTATTAAAATGGCAAATTGTCGGGTTAAGTTTGTACTGTTTATGGGGTTAGGCAATATTTGGTCATACTAGAAGCATTTTCAGTGTTGAAATTGTCCATTTAAGAAAAAAAGAGGCCCACTTGAGGATAAATTTAGATAGAATTTATGCTATCCTGTGTAACGAATTGTTCACATTCTTGGCAATTCATGCAGCAAATATTTCAATAGTGCTTCATTTTGTAGTTTCTATCTTTTATTATATCAGGCATATATTATTTTTCATTTTCTTCTGTTTGAAAGGATTTTTGTTGGAAATCAATACTCCCAAGGGACATAATTCTACTTTTTCATAGATTAATACAGGCAACAAAGGCAACTTTACAGCTGAGTATTTTGCATATTTAATGTTTTAAGTGTCTAATATCTTTGTTTTTATAATCTCAAGACAGAATAATGGATTTTATAACAAGCTCTGAAATTTTGAACCACAATATGGCATATACTAAAGCATGGAATGGAGATTAGTATGAAAAATCTTGAATTTGTACTTATGTTGTAAATTTTGGATAAAATGAATACAAATTAAATGGAATGGTCATTTTTATCTGTTTAAATGGAACTCTTTATATTTTTTTTTTTAAAAGATAAGATATGATTTTATACAGGTTGTTTATTAAGCCTTTATGAAAGAAGTAGAGAAAGAGGTAAACCAGCATGTAGGGGTGGGGACATAAAATGATCCATGTTTCTTTTAAGTAATGGGGACATACAAGTATTTATTATAGCCAAGGTTTTCACAATAACCCAGTATTGCATTAATGGTGTCATAAGAATTCTTTATATCTTAATGTCACAGTATAGGGAAAACGGTACTATTACATTTTCTCAGCATTAGGTTGGCCTTTTCTGTACCCAAGGCAGGTGAAGGAAGTCAAATTAGGAGCGCTGTGTATGGATGTAAGGGTACAATATATTTTTTTATTTATCTATGAATAACTGCAGTGTGTATATTTACAATATAAATTTTAAAACCTATTGAAATATTTTCTAGAGAATTATTCGAAAAGGCTTCCAAAATTTCATAAATTTGGTGTAAAATGACGGTGGGCATGGATAACATAAACAAGCTCCGTTGGAAATTGGTCATGATACTATTTGGCTTCAATTTTTAAAATAGAATAATAAAGTTCTAACACCACACATAACTGTTTTATCCAGGTTTTTATTATAAAAAGTGGTAAATTTAGAAAATGTTAGTATTGTCGCCTATGGCAGAATCAATAGTACCGTTTTCCCTGTATTATATGTCTCTCGTCTGATACATATAGCCAATGTTCTTATTAATTCAAATTCAGAGAAGGATTTAGGAGCCCAAGTGTCTGCTCCTTTATGACTCTTTATGGAGCTTTATTCAATTCTGATTTCCTACTTTCTCACACTTCACCCCAGTCCAGTCTTATCTAATATTTCATATCATATTAATATAATTTGTATTAGGTGCATTCCTACTAGATCTACTATGTTTTTGTCATTATCAAATGTATTTTGTGTTTATATTTGTATAGGGAGAGGTCCGAGAGTACGTCACTAATGTTGTTATAACTTGTGTCCTCCCTTTTGCTACTTTTGCAAATGAAATATGTTTAAACTAAACCTAACGTTGCCTAGTCTGCCCTCCCCCTTTTTTCAAATGCTGGATTCGCATGCAGGGGATCGTACACCTTGAAAATTACCAATACCTTATGTTATTAAATGCAATGTCGGCCATTAAAAACGAAAACCATGGAATACACATTGATAAAACAATACACAACGCTTTTCACAAGTTGTTAAATGATCCATAGTATGATTTTGAGAGCCGATTCTTCATTCGTTATAAATTCAAGGGAGACTATCATTTTCCCGCAAAAAATTAAAATAAATGTAGCAGTATCTATATGATCAGATATGATAAGCTATATGAACAGATATTGAAATTGAATTGTTAGTAAACATACAAATATTGGGGCAAACTTTAAGATACAAATCATGTTAATAGACGGCAAATAGGAAAAACAAAATAAAACTACAATTATTTATATATATATATCATATCGCGCCGCTTACCAAGTCCCTATTAGGGGCAAATGCTGGAAATAGTATACTGTCTCAGATAAATGACAAGAACATATTTTATTAGCAATTAAGGGCTCACAAGGGGCATATATAGAGCATGTATAAGGAAAAAGAACATTGATTAGCATAGATACATAGAATTTAAATATACAATCACAATACAATTAGCCGACTGTAATAAAGCCCTTGGTTTCATGATAGTATATATATAATATAGTTACATGAACAATAAATAGATCTAACTCATATTGACTTTAATAAATTTTCCAACAGCATTAAGGACCTGATTGTCTTGACAGCTTAATAAATGAATTATAATTTTTGCTGATTGTCCAGTATAGAAAAGTTTGGAATTTTTTGGCAAACAAAGTCAAAGAGAGCATCTATCAAAGTTAAATTTTTCACATGAAGTTAAAAAATGTATTTCATCTTCAACACAGCCAGATGAGCATTTTTTGCAATTTTTTTCATTTCGTGAATATTTGAAAAACGGCCAAATTCAATTTGAAGCTTATGAGCAGATACACGTAATTTGCAAACTGCTCTTCTTTTTTTATAAAAGTTTCGTCCTACTGGACGTAAAATAAACAATAATCAATCAATGAAAATGTTCATATTTTTGTTGCTGCATATAACATACTTCTGTTTTGAATTTATATTTTCTTTTTTGTTTATATTTTCTTTTTATTGTAAGGGGACGACAATTTGATATTCTGTTCGGGGGTGGGGGTGGTTTTTTTGCGGAATGACTATTCATTTTCATCTGTTGCTATGTATGCTTATTTTGTTTTTGCAAAACCGCGCGAAAATTAATTTTCACTTTTGTACACAGTAATGTTCCTGCATTTTGGGTTGCAGAACATTTTCATTTTGTTTTATTCAAGGTTATTGATGTTCAGCTGTTACCAGGCCATGATATTCATTTTCAAAATCTTCCAGGCCCCCAAAAAACCAAATGGTCGTCCCCTTAGAACAATCCTCTTCCCAAATGATAAGAATATCATATCAAAATGACCATCTGTGACTACATACTTCCGTAGTTTCACTGTGACAACTAATTATATAGACATACAAACTTTACCTTGACCTATAATGGTTTACTTTTACAAATTGTGACTTGGATGGAGAGTTGTCTCATTGGCACTCATACCACATCTTCTTATATCTATTAACCTGCTGGAATCTGAATCATAAACGAAATTTTTCTGAACCATTGGATTTTTTTACTTGCCAGATATTGTTTTTTGCCACCTTTTTGGTCATGTATCCCAATGACATATAGTGTTTTACAAATAACCTGAACTTTGTTACAAAATTCATTCATTTTACAAAATGACTTAGTATTTTTAGTCGTTGTATATAATGCCTGTCAAGGTTAAGGATTTTATAAATTGCCAGAAAATTTGCCTAAATTAAAAAAAATGCCTGTAACATAATTATATAACATTTGTCATGATTTCATAACACGAACGCACCACTTCGGCAAGGGTTTTACTGCCGGTTGGAAGAAGACCAAAGTGATGTAATTAGGAAGGTTTTGACAGTAAGAGTACAACTCTCCTACTTTCTTTTTCTTGTGAGACGGAGCCAGTTGATAGTAATCTGATTATCATGAAGTTCGGGGGATATCCCAGATCCCCTTCTTAGATGTACACGGTAGATGCTTCCTATTTTATCTCGTTTAGGTTAAATGTTTGAATCTCATCTTACGTCAATAATCTAAACAGACTCGTATGCAATGGCTGCTTAATAGCATCTTCATAATGAAAGACAAATACATGTTTACACAACAATCCAATTTAATGTAAATGAAATCGGTAACAAAAAATTTTGAACTGCTTCTACTCTTCCGTTTATATTTAAAAAAAAAAACAAAAGTGTTTTGATTTTGTTTTAATCTGAAGTTGACCCAGCTTTAAAAAGAATAAATAATTAAATGAATTCTCTATTCTTCATGCTTAGATGTATATTTGGATTGCATTATATTGAATAGTTTAATCGTTTTATCCCATTATTACAACAGGTAATTGAAACATTTCCTTTTGATTCCTTGAAACCAATGTTTACATTGAGAAATTATATTCCATGAGAGTTATGATCCCACAAGCAATATTGAATACACAGCAGGCAAACATTATTCATTTTTGCTTGTTCGATGATACCTCATAATCAGAAATGTATGATTAAACGGATTTCAAAATATTAGTTTTACAAACATGTTTTGTTTTTAATCTTTGCAAATGATTTCTATGATCCTAGTATTATTCGAAATAATTTAGATTCGCATTGGATAGAGTTTTTCTGTTAAATGTAGTTTTCCGGGATATTTCGTCAATCCCTTTGTTCGCAGATAACACCATATTTATATGAACTTTCAAAATCATGCCAATAGAACTCATAAGTGGATTCCATTCCAATACAATCTCCAGTTACACCTCTACTGTTCGGCTGAATGTTGTTTGTGTCACGGGTGTCCCAGTTATTGTACAACAGGGGTGTGCCATCCACTTGTAACCAAGACCCGCTTGCGAATTGTCCAGCAATAAAAATTCCAGAAATAAAAAGGTCATTATTTATTACATTGACAATGAAGTCCTGTTTTGTTTGGCTGTCTATCTCAATTATCGATGCTGAATGTTGAGAACATACTTGACCCGCGTCGACACAATGCATACTGTTGGATATTACCATGTAACACAGATTAAGGTTCCGTATATATATAAATCCAATATAAACATCACACCATGGTTTGAATATCACGTAATTCAAGTTATTCATTGGTAAAACTGTAAGTGGGTACGATATATACTGAATACAGGTCTTGCTTTGGTAAGTAATAGAGAGACAATTGTCAGACAACGCACATTCCGAGTAACATTCGAGTCGGGAGCGTACGAATGTGTTCATTAAAATTTCACTTGAGAGAAAAGAAGCTGTTTTTATATTAGGTCTGAGAAGAGCAAATTTAAACTGAAACAGCTCGTTTTCCAAACTTTTACTAATCAAACTAAACATAAGGATAAAAATCGCAGTTTGTGATACCATGATAGCTTTAAATGGAAATATTAAATCCGTTTTTTAGTCAAATTTTCACCACATCAAAATATTAAGCTTCAAATGTACAAATTTAAAACATTTTTTTAAAAAAGAAGGCCTATTCCTAAATTGCACATGCTCACACAAATAATTTGTTAGCAATTTAATAGCAAAAACAACAAAGACTAATATATATTGGTTTATGATCGAAGGTTGATAATTAGTAAAAACGTTTGATTGCATTTGACACAATGTACGTCGGAACTCCATCAATATAATGCATTTAGCATGAATTGGGGCGGATGTTTTTAATATATCTTAGTATTAATGATATTGGTTTATGTATTAACCCATCTACTTTTTCTTTACGATCTTTTTGTCATGTTTTGCTATCAAAATATTCTATTTACTTCTCATTAGGCCTTTTCCTGTTCTCTTGATATGCAACTATAAAAGATAAATTTAACAATAAAAAACAAACACTCCATTAATTGTAGGTCAAAGTATGTAGTCCTAGTTAAAATATTGACAATAATGTCAAAACATAGCACTCTGTAGCTTTATAAGGATACTTTAAACATCGATATGTTCCTCTCTGTTTATCATGCAATGAATGATTTGGTGTTATCTTTCAAAGGCAACTATGAGCCTGATGATATGATATTATGTTTTTCGACACTCTAAAATCGGTTGTTGTACTCAGAGTAGATGTCATACAACAACGTCATTCATTCTTAAAATATTTAAAGACATTGATCTGTTAAACACTTGTAAGAACATTTTATTTGAATGTTATCTAATTTGTTTACATTGTACAAACAATCCTTCGAAATGTTTGTATTTACAGAAATGTGCAAGCTCATTTTGTACTCCATGAGGGGCCTGATGGGGGGGGGGGGGGGGGGGGGGTCTCATCACGATTCACGAGTTGTTTTTTTTATCAATCACGATTCACAGAAAATAAATTTCCATGATCACGGATCACGAAAATATAAAAAGAGTATCCCCAATCAATCTCGATAACAGAGATTCAGAAGCTGGTTGTTTGTGTTGTAGATTGGTTCAATTAAGCTACAATCAAATACATTACTGGCTCATTACTTGTTTACGTGTTGAATTCTCCCAGGTTCTAAATTAAATCGTTAAAAACAGTCACATTCTGACTTCTTGTATTGTATCATATAATATACTGGCGTAAAATACCACGGATCCACGTCTGTGTTTTATCTTGAGACTAAACTCATAGACTATATAGTATATATATTTATTTTGTAAATAAAATTTACTGCTGAGCCTGATTGTTCTCCCACTCCTGCTGGTTGTCCCTTGAAGAAAACTAAGACATTCTGGGGTGTCAATAGCATTGTCCGTTTCTTCAGTGTCGTCCACATCTGATTCTGAATCATATTCAGAAACTTGATCGTAGTCCTTGTTACCTTCTTCAGATATTGAAGGAAATGTGATTTGTTCACTTGTGGCACTGTAAGTTGCATTTTTGTACATATTAAGTGGTAATGTGCCAGTGTTGTACATTGTCGTTTGCTGTCGTACTGATCTTTGTCGAACACACTTTCCAAAGTCCTGGGCCCACTCACGCATTTCTCTTTCCTGGTCTTTTGACAGCAGGGCTTTTGGTTTCAAGTGCTCCATAGCACTCAGGGACGACAATGGCATGTCATTTTCAGGAATAGGGTAATAAGAG